GATTCCAACCATAACTACCTTCACTATTACTATGATTCTCAGTAGAAAACATCAAACATCTTACATCATAAATTGGAAAGCATTTTCTTGAATTTATTTATATATATTGAAGCAAATCAAATTAATCCCAGAAAATTGTTCTGGTCATTTATTAGTTTTTTTTTTTTAATTTGCTTTCTATTTTTTCTTTGTTTTTTGTTTTTATTGTTTGAGGAGGCAGGATTTTGAAAATTTACAAGTAATATCATAAACTGTGTATACAATTATGGCTGTCTGTTTCAATTAAAAAATGCATTGCATGACAGGGTTCTGTTTCACAAAGAGATTTTTAAAAAATTGGATTTGCCTGTGCAACCTAGGCAGTAGAGTTCTTTCTTCCTGAATATACAACCTTTCATAAATATTGCTAACAGGCCAAAAAGCTGGCATTTAAATGTCATTACTATAAATAAACCATAAAATCTGATGCTGATCTGAAGGTTCAGTATAATAGAGTAACTGGAGAATAATTATTTTTAAAGGAGATGAGCAATTTGAGATTTATGGTACCAATGATTTCTCTCTTTAAAGAACCCTAACTTAATTAAAGGTTAAGGATAAAAGCCAAGCTAATTGTGTCTTCAGGAAGGGTCAATGGCACCACCATTTTCCTGGTCACTTTGGCCAAAAACCTGGGAGTCACCTTTGACCTCTCCCATGTCCTGTCAATCACCAAGTTGTATGTCTTTTCACAATGACTCATTTCTGTTCTATCAGGCTAGTCCAGGCCATACCCATCATACATTTCCATTACTACAATAATTTTTAACAAGAATTAATATTAGAGGAACATTTCAGGATACATCTTGACAATCATAGCAGATATCATAAAACTTTGTAAATTTAGTATATTTTCTTAACTGATCTTTTCTTCATCCTCTTCCAGTTGATTGTCTGAAGTATATAGTGACTGAATTGTGTATGAAATAAGGATAAACCTCTTCATCTAACATTTAAAACAATGGGTTAGCTGATTTTATCCTGCCCAATTAATATTGTTTCCTCTCCATTACTCCCCATAGCTAATTCTCCACTTCATAATTCTTGTACTTCCCAGAAGCTTCCCCTTTTACTTTTTGGGCATCCATTTTGCACATTCACAATGTATATTCATTCTCCCTTTTTAATTTCCACCAAACCAATTCTTACACTTAAAAAAAAATGTATCCCAAGTGAGATCCTCTTAGCTAAGCCCAGCCTATCACATTTTCTTTTTGCTTAAATACAAATCTATACTATGCAAATTAGCAATCAAATCTATATTTCCTTACATAAGGTTTTCTTGATGTTTTATGAATTTATACTATGTTCTCAATTACTAGAACTTGTGAGTACCTCAAGGTCAATGACCCTAAACATTGCTACTTCAAGTACATTTGTTATTTTTCTTATGAACTATGTATTTTGAAAGTTTTGTGTAACCAACGATACTTACTAACAAAATGACCACTTTTTTTGCAGTAGATAAGCAGAATTACTGTTCTGTAGCTGATACTATTCTAGACCTGAGAAAAGACTGATGCTTTATCTATTCAACTTGTAGAAATCTTAAAATTAGCTCAAGGACTCCCATGTTTTACCTTTTAGAACTTTTAAGCATCTGGGGGCATGGCTGTGGCTAAGGGTCACTTCTTATTTTTGTTATACTCTCATCAACCAACAACATTGCAGGTGTTTAGTAAAGGTTTAATGCTGTCTAGCCCTAATGATTCTTAATGACAGCTAGGAGGAATAGAACAAACTTACAGCCTCAGAGAGCAAAGGTAGTTGTTGTTAAAGGTTATGTTCCCTACATTTGTATCTTTGGGGTAAATACCCAGTAGTGCAATTGCTGGGTCGTGTGGTAACTCTATTTTCAACTTTTTGAAGAACCTCCACACTGTTTTCCAGAATGGCTGCACCAGCTTGCATTCCCACCAACAGTGTAAGAGGGTTCCCCTTTCTCTGCATCTCTGCCAACATCTGTCATTTCCTGACTTGTTAATTTTAGCCATTCTGACTGGTGTGAGGTGATATCTCATTGAGGTTTTGATTTGGATTTCCCTGATGCTGAGCAATGCTGAGGACTTTTTCATGTGTCTGTTGGCCATTTGGATGTCTTCTTTGGAAAAATGTCTGTTCATGTCTTCTGCCCATTTCTTGATTGGATCATTTGTTTTTGGGTGTTGAGTTTGATAAGTTCTTTATAGATTTTGGATACTAGCCCTTTATCTGATATGTCATTTGCAAATATCTTCTCCCATTCTGTCAGTTGTCTTTTGGTTTTGTTGACTGTTTCTTTTGCTGTGCAAAAGCTTTTTATCTTGATGAGGTCCCAATAGTTCATTTTTGGTACATGCACCCCAATGTTTATAGCAGCAATGTCCACAATAGCCAAACTGTGGAAAGAGCCAAGATGTCCATCAACAGATGAATGGATAAAGAAGATGTGGTATATATATATACAATGGAATATTATGCGGCCATCAAAAGGAATGAAATCTTGCCATTTGCAATGACGTGGATGGAACTGGGAGGGTATTATGCTGAGCAAAATAGGTCAATCAGAGAAAGACATGTATCATATGACCTCACTGATATGAGGAATTCTTAATCAGACTGAGGGTTGCTGGAGTGGTGGGCGGTGGGAGGGATGGGGTGGCTGGGTGATAGACATTGGGGAGGGTATGTGCTATGGTGAGCTCTGTGAAGTGTGCAAGACTGTTGAATCACAGATCTGTACCTCTGAAGCAAATAATACATTATATGTTAAAAAAAAAAAAAAGAAGAAGAAGAAGATAGCAGGAGGGGAAGAATGAAGGAGGGGAAATTGGAGGGCGAGATGAACCATGAGAGACTAAGGACTCTGAAAAACAAACTGAGGGTTCTAGAGGGAAGGGGAGTGGGTTAGCCTGGTGATGGGTATTAAAGAGGGCACGTTCTTCATGGAGCACTGAGTGTTATATGCAAACAATGAATCATGGAACACTACATCAAAAACTAATGATGTAATATATGGTGATTAACATAACATAATAAAAAAAAATAAAGAAGGTTATGTTTTTTTCAAATGTGGGCCTAAGTTTAAAACATAAGATCATGGGGTGCCTGGGTGGCTCAGTTGGTTGAGCGTTCAACTCTTGATTTTAGCTTGGATCATGATCTCAGGGTCATGGGATCAAGCACTGCATCTGTCTCCATGCTCAGCATGGAGTCTGCTGGAAATTCTTTCCTTCTGCCTTTCCATCCACCTCTTGTTTTTTTTTTTTTTTTTTGTATTTTAATAAGTAAATACACACATAAAAATATATACTTTAAAAAATATAATATTGTGGTATTATCAAGTAAAGGGCTTCCATTTTTAAGATGAGCACATTCTTGAGTGCTAGAAAGGTGGTCATTAGGCCAACAGGAGGGAAAAGGTAATTAAATTGTTCTCCCAAATGGTTCTTTATTGCTGAGTTCCTGCATGTCACGTCCTTATCACTTATATTTGCCAAGTAAAATAAAGTATATTACTTTAGCTAATGAAGCTTAGCAGATCAATTAAATGGTATAATCAGATAGTAAGCTACAAGAACAAGTAGGAAAAAATAAAATAAATGAAGAGATTAAAATAAAATAAGACCAAAATACATACATACTTATATACATACATACATACATATACACATAAAGGAACAGCAATCAGGCTACTGTAAACAACCATTGATAAAGTTAACAATATAACAATCTGAGTGATGATTTGGATGATAAGATTGAAATTAAAAAGCAGATGATAAAAATGATATAACACTAGCCCCAAAGAGAGGTCTCCTATTAATGTCCTAATGCAGGAACAAAGCACAGAAAGAACTAAGCAGATACAAGCCAGTCTGGTTAGTTACTCTTCTACTTGTGTTGGGGGCCTCTATTGATGGCTGTAGGCAGAGAGCCCAAGGATGAAGGCTAAAGCAAGGTATCTAATGCTTGAGAGCAGGCCCTGACTGAGAAAGGAAATAGGGTTTGTTTTTGAGTGCCTATTGACATGTGATTTCATCTTCTACATGTAATTTCATCTTCATACTAGCCAATTAAGATAGGTGGCATTATGTTTATTTTCTGTATTTAAAAAAGAGACTCCATTTTTTGTAACTTAACCAAAATCATACCTTTTCTTGGAAGGAGCAATAAAAATTTATGCCCTATTTAATCAGCCTCCGAAGTTCAAACACACGGATCCAGCTGACCTCCATCTGGTCTTAACAGGTAGACAAACTAGACAGAAAATTTCCCTTCAAACACATGAACCAAAAGTTTAAGTAAAGAACTTCCAAGGGTGCCTGGGTGGCTCAGTCAGCTAAGCAGCTGCCTTCAGCTCGGGTCATGATCCCAGCATCCTGGGATTGAGCCCTGCATCGGGCTCCCTGCTCAGCAGAGAGCCTGCTCCTTCCTCTCCCTCTGCCTGCCATTCCCCCTGCTTGTGCTCTCTCTCTCACTCTCTCTCTCTCTGTTTCAAATAAATAAATAAAAAATCTTAAAAAAAAAACCTTCCAAATAATTCAAATAAAATTCCATTCTTGCTCAGGTAATATTTGCAGTATGGCATGCTTGTTAGGATTTTCTGTGGAAATATTTGTGGAAGCTCCTTTCGATAATTTATTCAAGAAATTTACTGAACTTAATACTACAGGCATAGTAAAGAATAAAATATTCTCTGCCTTCATGGTACATACAGTTTAAGAAAAAAATAATTTAAAAATAAAAGCATAAATAAACATAGCTTCAAACTTTGAAAAAGTCATTTGACACAGAAGAGCAGGATGGGCTTAGATAGTTAGAATACAGAAAAAACATTTTGACTGGGGACAAAAATGTTCCATGGTAAAGATGTTATCTTTCATCTGTTATGGTTGCTGTAAGAAGCCAATGGAAGAGGTTTGCCCAGGAAAGTAATAAGATTCCACTTCTATTTTTAAAAGATTTTTCTGGCAGTTGTGGAGGAAGGATCAAAGAGAGTCAGTAGGAGAATCAGGGAGAGGAAAGAAAGCAATTACATGCCTAGGAAAAAGTAACAGGATTAGAGCAAGGTGAGAAGAATGATGATAGAGAGACTTGGATGGGTTTTAAGAGATGTTTTGTAGGGAAAAGGCCAGCCTACAATGATGGATATTATATGAGGGCTGGGGGTAGGCGGAGGTGTCACAGGAATATGACATTTATTCCAGCCACTTTGTGTACAGAGGTGCTATTTATTAAAACAAAGAAGGCTGGAGAAATTGCAGGTTTAGGAGGAAAGATCAGTAGGTTGGGCTTAAATATTACGTGTGAAAAATTTCTTTAACATCTAGTTGCAGATGCCGGGTAGTCTGTTGAATATGGTGGTCTGAAGCTATGAAGAAGAGGAAATGGGGAATCAGCTGTAGATGGCTGATCTCGGAAGTGATGAGAGCCATAAGATTGCTAAGGTAAGTGGATGGTGTTAGAAGGGAGGCCAGGGAGAGGCAGAAGGAGGCAGAGGAGAGGCAAGAATGAGGCACTGTGGGGTCCAAGAAAGATGGAACATCAACTGCATAAAAACAGCTAAGAGGTCACAAAAGATGATGATTAAACAGCCCATGTTGACCATTACAACAAAGAGGTTACACATGACCTTAACAAAAGCAATTCAAGCCGAATGGCATTGGGATTAGCAGGAGAAGAGGAACAGAAAATGGGAGGTGAGAAATGAAGCCAGACTATGTAGACCACTTTGATGGGGGCTTGGTTGGGAAGACGAATAGACACACAGGAAAGTAATAAAAAGCTGTAGCTTAATTTGATGATATATAATACAGAATAGATTTGAATGCTAATGGGAAGGATTCAGTAATAATAAAAAGTAACAAAAACAACTAATGTTCAAATGTGTCCTGCGTGCTGGGAATTCTTCCATATGTTCACCCATATGGACTTATTTAATACTCATGACAATCCTATAAAATAGTTACTACTGTTTTGCATGTAAGACAAGGAAACTGGGGGCACAGAAAGATGAACTTGTCGAAGATCCCAAACTGGTGATTGAAAGAGTCAGGATTTAGAGTCTTGCTCTAGTTTTGGCTCTTAATATTCTACAATATATTAGCTTTTCAAGAGGGAAAGTTCAAAGTGTAGGCAAAAGAGGATACAACAGATGAAATCTATGGAAAGCAGGGGAAAAAAGGAATCTAAAATAAATGTGGAGGGATTGGATGATGTTAGACAAAAGACCTATTCTTTGTTGGATTTGGAAGCATCTTAATAAAGAGGGCTTGTTTATCATATCTGATCAACTATGACTCAATGAATCTTCAGATAATAATAAGTGACAGTAATCCTTTCTTTTGAGAAAAAAATAAATGGATTATGACAAGGCTGGAGGTTTTCTAAACAAGTACTAGTTTTTGTTTTATTTTGTTTTTTTTCTTTTTACTTCCAACATCTAAGTAGCATACTTCAGAAATTGAAACCCTCAATCCAGATGTGTTTTCCAGTACCCCTGTAAGTGATAAATTGCTTCTAATTTGATTAAGTACAAAAGTGATTATTATGTGGCATTGCTGATTTCAGGTGTGGCTGAAGCATGTATAAAGTGCTTTTGGATATGCTAACAACTCAATAGTGTTAATTAAAGGCAATAATATGCTTGGCTCTGATTTGGAGGGTTCCTGCTTAGATGGAGACAATACTGAAAGTACAAGAAAAAAAAAAAAAGGAAGAAGGAAAAAAAGCAAAAAAGCTGAATTTTGAGAATTTTTCTTATATCAGCAGAATTTGTTGGTTTCCAATGTGAAGCCATGTAATCTCCTGGCTCACATAAATGAAATTCTTATGAATTTCCATAAAATTCTTATGTCTCCCAATTTAGTGAAGATGGGTATGGAGGTTGAAGGGAAAGAAAAAGGAAATCTCCTATTTACTGATAGAAGGTTTTCTTCTGGTAATCTTTTCTAAAATTACTAAGTTATTTCTTAAAAGTTGAGGAATATATTTTTAGGTTAAAAAGAGTTACCATGTGGTAGTACTATATATAGATATATAATACACATGAAATTTGTTTACTAATTATATTCTACTCTGATTATGGATGAAGCTTCTAAAAGATAATCCATTCAGAAGAGAATTAAACCAATGTTTTGTTAGAAGGAACAGCAACATTTGGGATAATTTGGCTGTTGTTGATAATGCTGCTATAAACATCAGGACGCATGCATCCCTTTGAATCATTTTTTTTGGTGTCCTTTGGGTAAATACCTAGTGCTGCAATTGCTGGGTCATAGGATATTTCTAATTTTAACATTTTAGGAACCTCCATGTTTTCCAGAGTGGCTGTACCAGTTTGCATTCCCACCAACAGTATAAGATGGTTCCCCTTTCTTTGTATCCTAATCAACACCTGTTGTTTCCTGTGTTGTTAATTTTAGCCATTCTGACAGTTGTGAGATGATATCTCGTTGTAGTTTTGATTTGCATTTCCTTGATGATCAGTGATGTTGAGCATCTTTTCATGTGTCTGTTAGCCATCTGGTTGTATTCTTTGGAAAAATGTCTCTTCATGTCTTCAGTCCATTTCTTAATTGGGTTACTTGTGTTTTGAGTGTTGAGTTTTATAAATTCTCTATATATTCCGAATACTAACCCTTTATCAGATATGCCATTTGCAAGTATCTTCTCCCATTCAGTAGGTTGCCTTTCAGTTTTGTTGACTGTTTCCTTTACTGTGCAGAAGCTTTTTATTTTGATGAAGTTCCAGTAGTTTATTTTTGCTCTTGTTTACCTTGCCTCAGAAGACATATCTAGTAAGAAGTTGTACAGCTGATGTCAAACAGGTTATTGCCTGTGTTCTCCTCCAGGATTTTGATGGTTTCCTGTCTCACATTTAGATCTTTCATCCGATGATGAATGGATAAAGAAGATGTGGCATATATATATATATATATATATATATATATATATATATATATAATTCCACTATATATATAGTGGAATAATACTCAACCATAAAAAAGAATGAAATCGTGCCATTTGCAATGATGTGGTTGGAGCTAGAGACTATTATGCTAATTAGTGAAATAAGTCAGTCAGAGGAAGACAAATACCATATGATTTCACTCATATGTGGAACTTAATAAACAAAACAGATGAACATAGGGGAAAAAAGAGAGAGAGGCAAACCAAGAAACAGATTCTTAACAACAGAGAACAAACTGAGGATTACTGGAAAGGAGGTGGGTGGGGGGATGGGTTAAATAGGTGATGGGTATTAAGGAAGGCACTTGTCATGACCACTGACTGTTGTATTTACGTGTTGAATCACCAAATTGTACATATGAAACTAATATTACACTTTATCTTAACTAACTGGAATTTAAATAAAAATTTGAAAAAAGAAAAAATAAATCAAATAGTGCTGAAAGAAAGAAAGAAAGAAAAGAAAGAAAGAAAGAAAGAAAGAAGAAAGAAAGAAAGAAAAAGAGAGAGAAAGAAAGAAAGAAAGAAAGAAAGAAAGAAAGAAGAAAGAAAGAAAGAAGGAGGGAAGGAAAGAAAGAAAGAAAGAAAGAAAGAAAGAAAGAAAGAAAGAGAAAGAAAGAGAAAGAAAGAAGAAAGAAAGAAAGAAAGAAAGAGAAAGAAAGAACGAAAGAACGAAGAAAGAAAGAAAGAAAGAAAGAAAGAAAGAAAGAAAGAAAGAAAGAAAGAAAGAAAGAAAGAAAGAAAGAAAGAAAGAATAGCAACAGATTGTTTTCCATCTTCCTGGGATGGATAAAAAGAAGTCATGTTTAATTTCCTTCTCCCCCACACATCCTCCTCCTTTCCTCCCTCCTACTCTCCTTCCTTCCAAGGACAATTACTGCAGATTTACAAGGTTTGTAATTGTCCCACACATACGAAAAATTCCAATTTCTGATTTATTGTTTATTATTTTTAAGTTTTTTTGGTTTGCTTATTTAATTATATTTAGTAATCTCTACACCCAACATGGGGCTTGAACTCGCTACAATGAGATCAAGAATCTCATGCTCTTCCAACTGAGACAGCCAGGCACCCCTACTGTTAATTATTCTTACAGAATAATTATCAAAGATTTGTTATGGAATTTCAAAGAGAAAAGAAAGATTACTCTAGTTTTCTGTATAATATGATCTAAAGAATTTCTAACTGGGAATTTATATTCAGAAGTAGGTTCTGTAACTTCTTTTTGGGCATTAAAATAGATAGGAATATGAGCAGCATAATCTACTGTTGCCTAAATTCCAAAGGAAAGGATGTAGGAATTATTCATATCTTAATTTCCTCCCATCCTCACACTTTGATAAAACCATTTCAACGATAACAGAGGAAAGAAATGGATAATAGAAAAAAGTTGCAATGACTAATCAATGAAAAATTTAAAAGTATCCATTCATAAAAATGATACTAATATTTAATCATAAGAAAATTAAAGAAGGGATATTTGGTCGATTCAACATGATGAGCAACACACCAGGGACACTCATGAGTTGGATCAGGCCTAACAAATAAAAGATTTCCTAACAAACTGAGAACAAATTGCTTGATCACATTTCTGTGAGAATCTTTTTGTCAAGACAGCCCCCTCCCTCATTAAGGACCATCTGACCACAAACCAGCACCCTGGTGATCCCCACTTGTTCCAGGAAATTGAATATTGACCAATTCTTTCTCTTTTGAAATGCCCCCAAATTGCTTGCTTGTCCCTTTGCAGCTAACCAATGACTACCAAATTCACCTGAAGATCAATCAGGTAGTCTCCCCCTGCTTGCAAACTTTCTGCCTTATGGGACAGTTGACAGAGACTCAGTGTTTCCTGTTTTTACTCTATAAAACTGACTCTTCTTTCTAACTCCTTTTACAGATAAAAGGTAGAGTGCCTTGTTGGAGATCATATGAACTATTCTGAAATCTAATTTGGGGCTTTGATCTCTAATCTCTCAAATATTTTAAATATTCTAACTTACAGACCCATCTGGATATTTTATCTAAGTTATTACTTGTGACCAAATCAAATAGAAATAATGTCATATAATTGATTATTCTAGATACCACTGCGGACCAAGATAAAATCAGTGAAAAAACAAAGTCTGTCTCACTCCCAGGCTAATCCTTAGACCTGAGGTGAGTATCTTGCTGATGCTACAACTATTTGAAAAGGATTTCATGCCATCATTTGACACATGGATATTAAAACCCAAAGGCAGAATTCGAGTCAGTAGTTTAATGTGACAAAGTCATATTGGTAAGTGTGATTTTTCAAGCCCTAGTATTGTGTGTGTGTGCACATACGTGCACACATGAGCATATGAAGGAGGAAATATTGGAGTTCCTTTAAAGGGGAACGATATCAGAAAACCAAGCAAAATGAAGGGAGAGGGTCTTGCTGAGAGGAAAAAAAATTCATTTAGAGAAAAGAGGAAATAATCTGGAAAACAAACAGCTTAGGAAATTTCAACTCTACTCTGGGGTTGGTCTTTTTGACCCTCTGGATTATTCCTCTGGTCTCGTCCCTGGATCCCCTCCACTGCCATTATAAGCTTCTGTGCACATCATCCTCCATCCCACAGCCAGAGTATTCTATCTAAAACTCAAACCTGACCATGTATGTTCCCCATTTAAAGCCTCTTTTAATGGTTCCCAGTTGCTCTTAGGATAAATCTACTTCCTGCCTACTATCTCACCAGTATCCTCTCCCTCTCCCCAGACCCTACCTTGCTCTGCACATGCTGCTTCCTCTGCTTGAAATAACCTCTGCCCCACTTGCCATTTCCTCCCTTAGCTAACCCCTAATATTCTTTTCAACTTACTGCTTAGAAACCTCTCTCTCTGGAAAGCCTCTTACAAATCCACCTCCCTCCAAGTATCCTAGGTGGTCCAGTAGCTTCCTGCAGTTATAAGTTCCTGCTTTATAGGGCACCCTCGTGTATTTGCTTACTTCCTTGTCTCTAAGCCCTCCTAGACTGTGAGCCAACTTACAGTATGGTCTGGTGCCCATCTTACTCCTTGTTATGTAAATACTATTTAGCAGAGTTCGTGGTATATAGCAACTAATTAATAAATATGAAACTAATGAATGAATACATTTGAAAGTGATTTAGATAAACCACAAAAATAAGAGAAAATACATAAAAAATAAAGGGTTACAAATACTCTTTCCTAAAATGAGACTTAACAATAAGCTCATATCCTCAACCTGCTTTTGAAAGCTTTTAAGACCTCGGTAAAATATAGTCTTCCTGATTTGTGATTATACCAACAGTACACCAGTGATATGTGGTCCACTGACAAAATGGAATGCTTTGCAGAGCTAGAAAATTAGATTAAAGCAGAACAAACTGATTGGATTTAAAGATTATATGGGGTCACAGTCTCAAGACTTGCATTTGAGAATTGCCAGTAGTGAGAGTATTATATTGTCTATAAATCCATCTTCCATGTAAAGGAGTACATGTTGTGAGCCAGGCTGATGCTGTTGCAGCTCTTATCTTTTGAGAAGAGTTCACATCAGTACATGATGCTAATGCATGCTATTGCATATTATTTGCATGTTATTATTTACTTAGTAATTCAAAAGGGAGTGAATGTGTAGCATGGTGCTTGTCATGACAAGTACTTTTCAAATATAATAATTCCTCCAGTCAAACATAACCCATACATGAATTAAGAATGCATGGTTAGCACACATACGGCATATTCTTAAGTGGTAAAATTCTGGTCAGATATACCTAAAAATGTTTTACGTACATTCTATGTTGAAATTCTAATCATTTAAAATTTAATTTAATGCATTCTAAATTCTTCCACTTCTTGCAGTAAGGATTTGAAAACATCTCAGTCAAAAAACAAAACAAAACAAAAACAAAAACTAGCATATTCTAGGTAAAATGAGAAGCAGCTATTTAAAATCTTTCTATAAACACACACACACACACACACACAGATACATGTACACACACACTCCAACTCTAAAAACTCAACTAAGTTAATTTTCTTAGTTGTTGGGTTTTTTTTTTTTTGGTTATTGTTTTGTTTTGTTTTGTTTTGTTTACTGAGTGGCTTAATTATAGAAATTATTACATGATTGATATTTTCCATGTTAAAATATGGATTTTAAAAGAACTGCCTCTAGCATAGCAACATTTGGGTGGGACAAGGGAGTTATAGACATGACCATAAATATTTTTTAACCTTTTAAAACAAAGATAAAAGTGAATCATCTGCCTATAGAGAACAACTTATATTTCTTGTTCCAAAGGGGGAGGAAAGATTGCTCTCAAACTTCTTGTCTCCTATCCTTCTTTTTCCTCCAAAAAGGCAAAGATATCTGATTATGACAAGTAAAATATCATATTATAATTCCCTGCTGTCCAATCTGAAAATTAAAAAAAAAAATAACATAATTACCATGGTGATTACAGGGTATCATGAAAATACATAGTTGCTTTAGTATTATTATGGAACTCATAACATCATGTTGAGTGTTAAAAATAAAGGAATGTTTACTAACTGGAAATAATAATAATATAAATAACTATTTTAAAGAATTAGGAGAAAAGCAAATATGGGGTTTAGCTCTAAGAATTTTCCATTTTTAAATGCCCTGTACTGCACTGCATATTAAAGATGTACGGAAAGGAGAAAAATGGAAATTATTAAAGTTGGATCAATATCAAAATATTGAATTTTTCAAGGTTTCTAATCCTATTTTGTGTAAGATTAGTTTTCTTTTTCCTCCCATTTTCGCTGAGCAAGAGATAAAATTATATTTTTCTACCCCTATCAAGTTTATAGACTAAGGACTAATTTTGAAAGATGAATTAGAAGAAAACTAACATCCTAGAGGAAGTTCGGTTTTAAGTGGGTTCTCAAATCCTCTGCCCCTCAAAGTAGGGCCTTGAGTTAGCAGCACTGCAGTACTTGGAACCTTATGAGAAACGCAGACTCTCCCGGTGCCACTCTAGACATACTAAATTCGAATCTGCATGGTAACAAGATCTCCTGGAGATCTGTATATTCATTAAAGTTTGAGAAGGCAAATTCTATTACACAGGTCCATATAATTCATTCCTCCTCAGAGCTCAAGGAGATTTAACACAGCTCATATTCACAATGTTTTTCCATGCTAGGAAGGTGGGTATGTTTTAAGTTGACAGACAGCAAAAAACAGTACGCATAAAGGACGTGATTTACCACTTATTACACTGTCAGTAATGATAAGTTTGTCAATGAGTAATCAATATTAAAATGATTTCTTCCTCTTATTCTATAACTTGAAACTATAAAGGGAATGCTCTTTTAGGTAATAAAAACAGACTCTTGCTAACATCATGGAGTTTTTATGGAATAGGAAGTCGTATTGTATATAAAGAGAATAATCTCCAGAATGAGTTTACTTTCTATGTTCTTTTTCTTATTATCTATCAGTAATTAGAGCTGTATAAATCTATGTAATTGTAGAGCAAATGAACCTTTGTGCTTTTTTACTCTATTTTACTGGTGATAAATTATCTTATTTTATCATGTCATCCCCCCAATATGAATAATTTTGTTACTTTAATAAGTTTAATTGACTCATTTCATTGCTTTTCATGCCTAACTCTAATAAACAAATAGTTATTGTTCTATACTTGCTACGACAAAGCATAGTGTAGGGAATGGTGTGTGTTAAATGATGAATAAGATACAATCTCTGCTCTCAAATATACCCTAGTTCATCAGGGGAGTGAAGACATATACACAAATAACCATGATTAATTTCAATGACAAAGAAAATGCTGTGGGAACACAGAGACCAGTCACTTCTGATTTGTGGAATTAAGACTTCTTGAAGGAGAAAACATTTAAAACTAGGCCAAGGAGGATGAGGAAAAGCTTATAAAGGGCATTTTATATGTGAAGAGAGCAAGAGTATCTCCATGTGTCCAGGGAATTATTTCAAAAAGTGCCCAGGGAATGAAGTAACCAAATAATTTCACTTACTTAGCTACTTGCATCCAAGTATATACAGTTTAAAATATGACTCTTGAAAAAATATATATGATGAGCTCCTGTAGTATATATCTATATATATTAATGAATTAATCAGGGAAGTAGCAAGATGACAAAGTCCATTCAGACGAACATAAAGTCAGTAGGGGAAAAAAAAAAAATCCCAGGAATAATGTTGCAGTATTAGATACAAAGTTGGTAAACGGCCTATAGGGCAATAAAAATGTAACCTTTGGGGTTATCTTTTCCAGTGGACAGAAATCATGTGTTACTTATCTATCTTCTAAAAGTTAACATCTAACTTTACAGTCTGGCTCTAATCAATATTAAATCAAACAAAGTTACAATTCCCTAGGACATCAGCTGACTCTCAAGTGATGTGTTTGATGATGCTTGGTAGAACTTCAAAAGGGCATGTCTAGATAGATAATTAAGTTATTTGTCAACATCACCTGCATAAGTAGCTATTATCATACCCAGTTGGTAGAAGAACTGAGTCTTAAAGATATTAGGCAAATTACCCAAATCACATAGTTGATACACAAAAGAAGGAAGATCTTAATCCAGATTTGTTTGATTTCCAAGCCATAGCCTTTGAACTACACAAAAGGAACAGTTAATACTTCTCCTTTCCGTTCTCCCCCCACCCCAGGCAACATCAGGTGCTAAACTAAATAAATTACTTTAATATTTAAAACAAACACCCAACCCCTCATCCCCCACTAGGACCACCAAACCATGAGGCTTTTGGAATCCTATTGCTCAAATAAAGAGACTGGGATCCAAAAGAGCAAAAGGACAAAAGGAGGGTAAGGTAGTCGGTGGTAAAAGACCTGGGAAAGCAGCTAGGATTTTGAATTCTAAAATGGTATATATATTGTGTTCAAAGACTAACACACTTTGGTGTGCCCTGAGAATAAGCAGACAAAAGTTACGGAATCAAGTAAGTGGATGAAGATGCTCTTTGCAATCTCCCCTTAAAGAGCAAGAATTTGCTTTTTGTGATTCTTAACCATTTTGGATCATATATCAATCTGTGATTCAGAGAAAGTTATGGAGTCTTTCTGCTGAAATGTGTGTATCTATTAATACACAAAATTTTGTCTTCCTATGTACCCCACAAAATTTTGCAC